AAACATATATTGTTTTGAATTTCGAAATATTTAAACCATACCATTTTCAGTGCTATCTTTTTTCATTTTTGTTTTTGCTTTTTTTTTGATGAAAAAGAAATAAACTTGAGAACAATTTGCTGTTTTATTAAAAACGCCCAATATTTTAGGAAGAAAAAAACGATAAATAAAGAAGAAATGACAATTTCTAAAGCACATCATTGTTAAATTTTAATACTATGAAAATTGAATATAGGAAAATTAAATAAGTTAGTAGGAAAATTAAATAAGTAAATTGAAAAAAATCGAATTTACTTATTTTTGAACAAAAAAAAAATTATTTTTTAAAATTATTAAGCTAACTTTTATTTTGTTAACTATAATTATTAATTTAATGCCAGTATTAAGTATTTCCTTTGCAATAAATTTTATTCTAAGCAATTTATCAGCCAGTTAATCATTGGAAATGTGAACATACGCAAAATCGATTTGTTATCAGTGATAAAACAAATTGTTTATTATTCGATGATGGAATGGAATTTTGCTTTTTTCTTTTCTTTTTTTTTTGGAGTAAATTTTTGGTAATTAAATATTTGTTTAATATAGTATATATGAATAGAAAATATTTAGTGCTTATATCAAAAAAAACAATTAAATTAAATTAATCATTAACGGTGATAAAGTGAAAAAAAATATTCGATTTAAATTAATTGGTAATTAAATACTCTTTTAATCCATTATGTATCGAATGAAAATATAATAAACGTTTCTAGTACAATAAGTATATGTGTATGTAACAAAAATGTGATTAAACAATACAATAATTTTTTTTTTTTTTCTAGCAAATGCAATGGTCAAAAGATAAAAATATTTCAAGGAATGACCAATGTTTTGTATATGCAATTTATTGTTCAAACTTTCCATATGTTGACCATTCCGGAATTGTAGCCATTAAACGGGTCATTATTTTAGCATTTTATTTTTTAAATTCTTAAATATATGTTAATAAATTGAAGAAAAAGACGGAAAAAATTAAATAATTTTGTATAAATTTCAAAATTTCCAAATTCCAACTTGCAATTGACATATCAAAATTAATGTATTAAATATTAATAAGTTCAGGAATGGAATAGTTTGTTGTGTATAAATTATTCCTAAAATAACATCAATAATATTATATATTTTGACAAGACGAAAGAAAAGCATGAAATTTAATAAGAATTACAAATTGCCGAATATATTTTCAATTTAAAATTAATTATACATTTATGATGAATTCATTGCATTTTAGTTTTAAAATATTTTTTGCTGCATCATCAGGTAGGTATTGGTTTTTTTTTTAAATCAAATTATTAAATATACAAATAACAATATATAATTACCTATTATTTCTAATGCTTATAGCAAATCATATTTAATACTTGCAATATTAAAATGTAAAAAATGCAAAATTTTTCATTTTAGAATTTAAGGCCAAAAAATTCTTAAATCACAAATTTTCATTTTTAAGATTTTTGAAATTAAATTAAACAGACATTTTTTTTTTTGTTTTACTTTTCATCACAACAATTTGAAAAAGTTTTACTCATTAGATAAATTGATAAAAAATATTTGATGAAACTAATTTTCATGAAACAATCCCAAGAAATGAAACGATCATTGAGCATTTCGATGATTGTTTACAATTTACAAGAATGTTTGAAACAATTGATAAATCAATTCATTATTTTAAAACTAAACAAATTGATTTTAAAAAAGGAGAAGAAAATTTTTTTTATTTTAAAAGACTAACATCATAGATATTATTACTTCAATAATTTCATGCATTTTTTTTTATTTCAAATATAATATATATTAAAGTGAATAATTTAAATAGCAAAAAAAAGAAAAAACAATTTTATGGCTTTATCATATTTTGCGCCTAATTTTATCTCCCATGATTTTCCTTTATTCTATTATCATTGATATGATAAATTAATCACATCTGATATTATAGCTTTTATTTGTTTAGTAATAGAGTAAGTTTTTATTGATCAATTTCTCTCATTTTACGTCTACATTTATCATTCACTTATTCCATTCAACTATTATCATTGATATGGCAAATTAATCAAATATACAATTAATTGTGTTATATCATAAATCGTTAACAAAATACTTCAAAAAATAAAAATAAATAAGGATATAAAATTAAAGTAAAAGTTCAATTGATATTCTCTGAGTCAAAAAAAAAAAGAAAAATTGCAAGAATTGAAGAAAAATAAAAGGATATTTGTGAGAGGAATGATCAATTATCCTTCCTTGGATCATTTAACTATTGAAAAAACAAAAAGCAAAAACCAATTTCAACAAGAAGAAGAATTATAAATTTGAAACATTTCGATAGATGATATGCGCTGTTTGAATAACATTTAAATGCTATGCAAATAAACGTCATTTAATCTCTACAAATAAACGTTATTCAATTGCTATGCAGGTAAACATCATTTAATTGCTAAGCAAATAAACCTTTCATTATCAAATTGTATAGATATTAAATGTTTAATCGATAATGTAAATCTTGAAATTCACAATTGATCGTTATTTGATTAGCGGTAAAATATTCCTTTTATTTGTTCAACAGTTAAGAAGATTTCTTATTCAATTAGTAAGTCATATGTTAGCTGTTGAAAAAAAAAATCAATAAAATGAAATTATCATTATAATTAATATTTGTTAGTAATAAAAGCTTTAAAAGAGATCCCCCCTTTACTGCATACAGTATTTTTCATTACTATTTTATGTTCAATGATATATGAATATCCATTATACTTTCATGATATTATTATGACATCGCAAGATGTTGTCAAGTAATTTCAATTTTTCAATTATCCGGAATGAGACAAATTCTGAAATGCATATATGATAGATATCCCGGTGATAAGAAATGGCACATCATACCTTCTGATATTTACCGCAGAAGTACTGGTAACATTACCAAGAACTGTCAATAGTCAGACTGTGAAATTTGTTAATTTCATTAAATTGTTAAAATTGCATTTGCTAAAAATACCAACTTGATGAAATAATCTCCTGATAACATACGGTGCAATCATTATGTAATAGTCAAACCCTATTAGATTCATGTTGGGAATACACTACTCCCCCATTCCCGAAATGATAGCTTCCGATGGTCAGTTCTTGCCGTACGATTGATGTTATTCGCTGACATTTTAACTCATAGCATCTCATCCATAAAGGAAGCAAAGAACTATCCAAAGTTCAGGAACGCAGGAAGCGATGAACTTGAAATTTCATTACCATTTTTCAAACGACACCATTATCGTTGACAGATCAACATCGATCTATCCACAAATATGCATGTTAAGGAAAAACTCTGAACAGGTTTATTAATTCAAACTAACTCGCGAACAGCAACATAGTCTACCCATTATAATTTTAAAAGCACACAAATGTCAACTAGGAGAGATATACGATAGGATGTTGGGGAGGAAGTTTACTTAGGACACAGTGATAAGAATGAAGAGAAATAATGGATTTCTGTTCATACCAATAATAAAATTAGCAAAAAGAAAAATTTTTTTCCATAACAGCGTTCTGGTTTTTCATAGAGCAAGCTCATGATGACGATGATGTATGCTCTTTATCGGCTGGCAATGTAAGAGATAAGGTCAACAACACGATTGCTGTAGCCATATTCGTTATCGTACCACGCAATCAGCTTAACGAAGTTTGGATTCAAAGAAATACATGCCAGAGCATCGAAGATTGATGAATGTGTATCACCAACGAAATCAGTTGATACAACCTGAAATTATGAGGAATTAATCACTGAAACAAATCGGAAAACCTTTCTGCTTCAACCGTTGCGTTGCACAAGGAAACAAATGAAAAGAAAATAGTTCAAATGAAGAAGCAAACTATCATCACTGTCCATCGCTGCTAAAACCCAAACTGTCTGAAACCCAAACGTACCTGGTCTTCGGTGTAATCCAAGATCCCCTTCATTGGTCCATTAGCCGCCTCCTTTACAGCGGCCTTAATTTCATCCATAGTTGCACCCTTCTGCAGTCGGCAAGTGAGATCAACAACTGATACATCCGGAGTTGGTACACGGAAAGCCATACCAGTAAGCTTTCCGTTCAAATCCGGAATGACCTAAAGTTATCACCTTTAAAGATGCAACTTTCGTCTTCATAAGTTTCCAGCAAGAACTAAAACAAAAGCTCATGGAGCGTTCCTAGTGTCAAATCTTACTTTTCCTACAGCCTTCGCTGCACCAGTGCTTGCCGGGATGATGTTTTGGGCAGCACCACGACCATCTCGCCACAGCTTTCCGGACGGCCCATCGACGGTCTTTTGAGTGGCCGTTGTTGCATGTACAGTGGTCATCAGGCCCTCAATGATTCCAAACTTGTCATGGATGACCTAAGAG